AAAGGATGTGCTTGTTGCTCAGCTCTGAAAAACCTAAACATCCAACCAAAATGCTGGTATATTTTCTTTCTCAACCTTCCAGACTGCCCAGCTGCTCCCAGTGCAGGACCTTCCCTTGTTTCCCAGGTGCAAGCTATGCAAAGAGCTATGGAGAGGACTTGCAAACAGTTTTCTTTGGACCACAGCAGAGAGTAACCTGCCTAAGCCTGAGCAGTTTTAAGGGACAATGAAGAAGCCCTTTTGCACGATCTGTAAATTCAGAGGAACCCAGCAAAATGCTGTGGTGCTGAAAACACTTAGCAGCAAACTCTATGAGGATAGTCCATTCATGTATTGATAATCTGGGTCATTTGTGACCCACATAACATCACATTTCTCCATGTTGTTCGTGTACAGGATGATAGGTGCCTTGCATGGGTGAGGAACAGGTTTGTTTAGCAGATGTTGCTCTGTTGAAATCTTATATTGGCTTCCCAACTGGCTAATTTCTTACTAAAAACATTCTAAAAATATCATTGCTCTGCCTACTTCTGTGCCTCCTTTCCACTTATTCTGGTGGATGGAGCATCCTCTTTCTTCCTAAGGCAGAGAGAAATCTTGGAGACTGTCTTGAAGATTTACCTTGCTATTTTACTCTAGTCCTTCTTCTGCTGCGGTTTCTGGTTACATCTCACTGATTACAACAGAGATAATCCAAGTAATGCAAGATGACCAACACATTTTTTTCTTGTATGTTTTAGTGCAAGGCAATCAACAGAGGAAACACAACATTATTTCAGAGCAGTCATGTTATTAAAACAGCCCAATAATCTAGCTAATATCTATGGACAACTCAAAGCTAGAAGAGGTGTGCTAAAATGAAAGCAGTCCAAGAATCTTGTTTCTTAGGCCAGTATTTCAGTACTATTGTGACATTCTTGAGAGGGATCAAGAATGTGAGGTTTCTGTGTGGGAGAGTAACTGCAGGAGCCCTTACAGCAGTTTGTGTATCCAGTCACTAAACCCAGTAGGTTGATGATCACTCCTATTGAGAGGGGAAGAACAAGAGGAAGCATGAAGCATTTCAGCTCACAGATCATAAGTAAACATGGTTTTACAAATAAACTCTTCTTGACATTAAACTGACAATGCTATGTATAATGTACATGGGCTTTACTGTATTAAAGTGTATGTATGTATTAAAGTGTATGTATGTATAATTTGCTTTACTGTATTAAAGTCTGTCACATTTGTGTGTAAGAAAGGATAGCTGTGTTAAGGAAAGGCACATGCAAACACGAAAATATACAGTGCACTGTTTACACAATAACATATTGTAAAGGTGGTAGAAGGAAGTTTTATCTTGGTGGGAACACTTTTCTTAAGTCTGAGGTTCATATACCCACAAACTTCAAAGCCTAGGCCCTTAGATCTCTCCCAGGACAGGAATTATCAAAGAATTGTAAAAATTTTATAGCAAGGTACACAGGCACTGTGAGTGATTTGTCCCAGATGGCAGAGCAGAAACATGAACTGAAACCTCAATTCAACATGGGAGACCCAAGCTTGAGACAATAACATAATTTCTTCTCTGATCTGAACACACTTGCCTTCTTCCATGTGTAGCCAAGTCCCATTCATGAGTCCAATTTCAGTTTTAATTCAATGCAGTTGCAGTGGGATGAGAAACACCTACTTTTTTATCTTGGTGTAAATGCATTTTTAAAACATGTGATAATTTCTCAGCTAACCTGGAAAATCCTGAAAGATCATGATCTCAGGATGAAGGGTCAGTGCTAAGCAAGGGACACAGGGACAGACAAAAAGATCTAAAGGGCCAATCACAAACACCAGGCCACGCTGCAACGAAGCGACCTCCATCTCTGAAGTGTGGGCAGAACTGAGGGAGATGGCCACAGATATTGTACCAGCAAGAATAAAAGTCCAGAGGCAGTAAATCAAAATGAACAGGAGTGGCAGATTCAGCAAAAAAGGTATCTCCAGCTTATGGGAAAAGCTAAATATTCTGCACTTCTACCTTCTGTCTCAGGATGTGCAGGAAAAAAAAAAGTCTTAGAAGTATTGAGTGAACCAGAAAAATGACAGAAAAGTTTATTCCACAAATTAAAAAAACCCCACAGTGATTCCAAACACAATTTGTTATCTTGACCCTGCAGCTGATTAAGCAAATGAAAACCATATATGTGTGAAAAAGACTTTTTATGGAGCTGTGACTTTAGGAATTAGCTATAGGAAGGGTGGCGGTTTGGAGCATTGCTCTAGCTCTGTCCACTAGTGCCCCTGCTTTTGTGGAACTTACATGGTGCAACAGTGGACACTGCTCTGACCATGCTGGCATTGGGAGCATGCCTTTGGTGCTCCAGGTGGTAGCAAATTATCTGCTCTTTCATCTTGAACAAAAGCTGCCCATGCGTGCACAAAATGAAACAAGGCTTAACTTCAATTTCATACCAACAATTATTTAGTTCACCATCCTTTAGACTTATTTCTGGGGAAATTCAGTTAATTTTGTGTATATCCCACCTACACTATACTTCAGCTCTATTTAGAGAGCATGAGCTTTTTTCCATTTTTAAAACCTGTTAGTTACTGATTCCATGAAGACTAAATGCCATGGTTGGAAGTTATTGCTGCAGGACTCTGTTAGAACAGACTGGGATGGTGAGGACAACCACAGAATTCTTCAGCCAAATTCAGAGGATATCTTAGCTTTTGGGACCTCTTCTCCTTTTTCTTTGCTGTTTTCCCCTGTAATGTGTAAAATCCTGCTTCCTGCCATTTCTTGTCCTACACCCTGCCTGTGCAATTGAGATAGGCAGGAACTAGAACAGAACACCATGACAGATTTTGTGACTTGCATCTCTGGCAGGTTTCACCAGAATTATACTTGGGCTGTTTAGTTTGTAATGACAGTATGCACTATGCAGTGGTGTGAAGAAGTAAGCCCAGGAAAGCCCTGTAAAACCCCCACATGTCTTGGAATACTTCTTGAAAGTAATTTATCACTTTCAGAGTGCAGACTGGGGCTGAGAGAATTCCTTCCCCCTCTTTAAGAAAGCAAAAAGGAATGGCCACCTGAAAAAGGGTAGAAAATGCAACAAATTTCATGAAATTTTTTTCACAAAATGACAGCTAGCATTTTATTTTTGAAAGCCTTAAAATGTAAGATATGCTGCAGATTACATACATGTGTGGTATTGCCATGATTCTTTGATCATATAGGTGTCAACAGATTGAATTTGAGTGCTATAAAATCTTTAGAATCTGAAATTTGGACTTTGACAATAATGGGTTGTTTCTAAGGAGCTTTTGTATGGTATAACCTGTGGATATAAAAATAGGAAAAACTTATTCTCCAGTGTTTTAGCAACACAAAAATATTTCTCATTTGGAGAGGAAGTTCTGATGGGATTTCTAAGGAAGTTACCAAAATTCAAGAAGTTTTTCTGTAGCCATGATATTATGAAAATCCTTTGCTGGGATTTTTCCTCTCCTGAGAAGCTGAGGAGCCTCAGGAGAGAAATGTAAACAATTACTATCTGCTGCTGTGGAATGCAACAGGTGCATCTGTGATTGGTCCATGTGGATTGTTTTCCATTGATGACCAATCACAGCCACCTGTGCCAAGGCTGTGAGCAGTCACAGGATTTTTGTTATTCTATTCTGTTCTGTTCTTGTTGTAGCCTTCTGATTTCTGTTCTTTTAGTATAGTCTTAATATAGCATTTTAATATAATATTTAACATAATAAATCAGCCTTCTGAAATGGAGTCAAGCCTCGTGTCTCCACACACGGAGAGGAATCATCAACATTTTTCTTTAGTCTCATTTGTGTGAAGGACAGGGAACAGAACTAGTACCTCTCTCTTTCTGCCCTACACATTTCATTAATTGTTGGTGGTGCGTAAATAACAAAAAAAATTCAAAACAGAGGATGAGTGACATATTAGCCTGCTTTCCTGCAGATGGATAATCTCATGAATAAAAAAATCCCAAATCAGTAAAAATTACTTGTGGCAATGTTCTTGAGCATTTCCCAGCTCTGAGAAAGGGAGATTAAAGACTCCTGAGCTTCATTGCTAAATTATTTTTATTTAGAGGGAAAAAAAAGAAGGAAGTTTCAGTATAGGCAGCTACTCTAGTAATAGAAAAACAAATACAATTGCACATTGAGACTAAAAAATGTCTTTTTTAAAACATTTATATGCAATTTCTGGGTCTCATTGAACACAGTTTATTCTCTGGAGCCTATGAGGCAAGGCTCTACATTTCCTTGGCCTGGTAAACCCATCAGAATTCATTTTCTTTCTTCTCCAGTATCAGCTCTTGTTTGTGATGAGCTGTTCAGATTCTGCTTCAACTACAAGTGGTGGAGGAGGTGCCCTTTCAGTGGAAGATGGGCTTCTCCACCCACAGATAACTTCTGGAAGGGTGTGCTAATCACACAAATACACTGGTTCTTCCCAGTCCCAGAACCAAAAAGAATATATTCTCAGGAGATACAAAGCCTGTCTTAGATTTCTTTTCTTGGTCATTTATTCACATTTTTACTGGTTCTGCAGCAAATCGAAAATATTCTTACACTAAGAAAGTCATCTTCATCTGTAAGAAAACTGGCACCCAGATTTTACAGAAACTCTTGGGACCTTACAGGTAATAAGGCTCTAAATAAAAAATAAATAAATACAGCTTGAACAAGGGAAACTAATAGAATGAAAATCCTACTTAATTTAAATGTTACATAAACATCTATAAATCTCTTAAAACACAAAGTTTTAACAACTAATATTAAGAACATGAATATGACCTTTTGCTAGAAATTAGATACTCTATCTCATTATGCATCTTGTAAGCTGAATTAGGACAATTAGGAGGTTAGAAGGCAGCTACTGAAGTGCTCGCTTTTATGAGATTTTCTCATGTCATCGTGCTTCTCTGTGATGGCAAAGCATCTGTAGGAAGGAGAGGAATTCCACTATGCAGAGAGGTTTGGAGCAGGTGTTAGCCCACAGCAGAAAAGGCAAAACACACCTTTGAGGGGTCGTCCTTCTGCACCACGTTATACTCACAGCGCTTCTTGTTGAAAACAACTTTACATTTCTTTTTGTTGTAAGAAACAGGAGTGTGAAAGCTGTCAGGGGCAAAGAGAAAGCAAATGTTAGCTTGAGAGCAATAAAAGTTTCAATACTTCAGTGATTATAGCTTGAACTACTGCTGAGAGAGAGAGGTCAAACTATGGCTAAGGGCAGCTGAGCTAGCTTGAGTACCACAGAGCTGCAGCTTCCAGAGCCTCAATTGATGCCCTGTGCACTGCACCGTGAAGATGTGCCAGGATGCTCAGCACTAGCAAAGGCACTTCTAGCACAGCACTCTGCAGTGACATAAGCATGGCCTTGGCATCTTTTCTCTTTTTCTGCCTTTAATTTTTCATTATTTCCAGTTTGCACAGGATGTGGTGGCTGCTCCCTGATAGACTGTGCCACCTAAATAAAGACAAAGATCATCATCGAGGTATTTTGGGCCATTGAGAAAGCAGCAGGAGGAAAGGAGAATGCTGCAGAAATACTTCAGAGCAGAGCCTTGTCATTCTACATTTACCATATTCACCTAGAAAAGCACTTCAGGAAAGGGGTTCAGATCACCATAAGCTTGTCACCATGATATTTTCTGAAAAATCTCTTTGCCAGAATTTTTTCTTCTGAGAAGCTGAGAAGCCTCAGAAGAAAAGAAAAACAACAATTATCTGCTGCTGTGGAATGCAACAGGTGCATCTTTGATTGGTCCATGTTGGTTGTTTCTAATTAATGGCCAATCACAGTCAGCTGGCTTGGACTCTCTGATAGTCACAAGCTTTTGTTATCATTCCTTTGCTTTCCTTTCTAGCTTCTGAAGGATCCTTTCTCTCTATTCTTTTTTGTATAGTTTTAGTATAGCATTTTAATATACTATAATACCATAATATAACAAATCAGCCTTCTGAAACATGGAGTCAAGATTCTCATCTCTTCCCTCATCCTTGGACCCTCAAACACAACCATACAAGCTCTACAGGGAAACTTCACTTAAATCACCTACCCCCACTTTCTCAGCTAACGAAAGACAACTGCAGTGAAAGAGGGGTTCACAAGTTCCTTAAAAATGAAAGGCAAGCACCAACTGGATGTGCCTGGAAAGGCTTGTGTCCACTCCCAGTCAGCAGAAAATGAGCAAAGGCAAACACAGCTAAGGATCCAAACAATCGAGAGCTGCATGTGGCTTTCACTCGCTCTGTGACATGGGTGAGAAAAGGCTCTCTTGTGTCCTCACAAAGCCATCTATCCCCAGCAATGGAAAGCTGTGGTCATCCTACAGGCAATGATGGTACCAAGAAGTTCAAACTTACAGGGAGCAGCATTCCATTGCACCTGGACTGCAGCCACATTGGTAGCAATCTTCTGTCCTCTCAATGTGTCCAAAGGGATACAGTTTTCCTTTCCATGTACACCCTGCATAAAACAGCAAGAAAACAGAACAGGTTCTTTAAACCACCACCTAAATGCAGAAGGGATTAAAAATTATTTCAGCTTTTCTGAAAATGTAATTCCAGGAAACAGTAAAGTACAAGGAATTGGGTTTGACTCTTTCAGCTCCTGAAGGAGCTCCATGTGCTGGAATAGCAGTAGCAACCTACCACCAATTTCAATAATGTTGCTTCAGCCATACCCAGCCCAAGGGAAGGCTTTGTTTTTCCCCTACTTTTAGCACCTTGCTGCTGGTGCCCCCTATTTGTGTTTTTCCAGTGTCTTCCCCCTCCCTTGCATTTTGAGCTCTTCCTGGCAGCTCCACAGAGAGCCAATTTACCACAGAGCAATCAGGTCAGAGGATGCTCCTTGTTTCTACCTCTGTAGGGCTTCCCTGGAACTTGAAGTACAGTAAAGCAGGATGCATCCCCCAGGGTCACCATGCTGCCCACTGAAACAAGGAAAGCCAGAAAGCTCTTCTGTAGAGAGAAAGAAGCAAATGGTAATTTCTCCCCTGTTTATGAATCAACATACATTATAGACAATACTGCCTCCTCTGTAGAACCTATGCCATTCCTGAGATGCTCATCTAAGGCACTTCTTGATGTCTGTGCCTTTGCAACTACGTGAGCACAAATCACAGGAGAAGCAGGCCATAGGACATTGTTGCTCTATTTATCATTACCTAACTGTTGATTTAGATTCTGCCTTTGGAGGCTTGAAGAGCTGGAACAGGACACAATTTGGGGGATCAAAATGAAGAACAGAAAAAATACACGGACAAAATATACACACTTTTTCTTAGTAAAATGACAATACTTTAAACTGTACTTCCCATTTTTAAGTGTCAAAAGCATGGTCCTGTATGTTTGCAAAACTCTGAATGTTTTCACAAACATTTCTGAGGAAAGAATAACAGCAAGTGAAAGACTGAGAGGTATCTTTTAATTACATTAAAATATATTATATTTTCTATATATTTATATTTATTATATAATTAATATAATAATGTTATAATATATTTCTATTTTATAATATATTATAAAATTATATTAAAATTATATTAAGATATAAAAATTATATTGTCATTCTTGCAAAGAATTCCAATGCCAAGAACAAAATTCACAGAAATCTTCAAAGAGGTGTATTCCTCTTTTGTATTTTACAGGTTTGAAATAAAATATAGCCACATTTACACATAGCTAAAATGTGTAACTAAATGATTCTCTTAAATGCTCCCCTTTTGCAGTTTTAAAGCAAATGCCTATCTCTATCCCTATTACAAAAAAACCCAAACCAATCTAAACCTTTAACTTACCATTGTGGAATGCTTGGCTTCCAAAGAGCTCTAAGTTTCCTGAGAAAGCTGAAGTTCTTTATGTGGAATCAGAGAGCAAATATTTTATGCTGCCTTTATGTTGTGCAATTCAAGTTTAGGTGGAGGGAAAAAAGCCTGCTCAATGCAAATGCAATTATTTTGCAATATTCAAAGAATTCCCGGCCTTTTTCCAGCTGGCAATTAGAAAATGTTTGGCTTTGCAGAGCACTGACCTGGGTAAATTACTGAGTCCAAAACTTTGTATTCCTCAGAAGAATTATGATTAGAAAAAATGCCTTTCTGATGGAAAACAAATATTGATAGCTGAGCTGTAGACAGTATTATCCAGCTAGGTGCTTTTGAGGTGGGGCAGAAATGCATGCAAAATCCTGTCTGCTATCAGAGGGCTGGAACATGCTGAGTAGTGCATTAGGTGTTAATAGCAAATGGAGTTTTTGCCAGATCTTTGCATCCTCACTGTTAGTGCTGTGGTGAGCACTGAAAGATAACCAAAGGTGCTTGGCCACTACCAGGATCAAAATCTCCTAACACTGAGACCTTAGCTGAAGCTGGATTCCATTACAACATCTCATTCTTTTCCACTAAAATAAGGTGGAGAAGATATAAGGTAATCAACTAATTTTCATAAATTACAGAAGAAATATTTTCTCACCTTATTTGTGAGGCTTTGCTAGGGAAAAAAATTTGGAATTCTGAAATACTTCAATGTCACATGGCACAGCTCCAGGCTACAACAAGCTGGATATTAATTTTGGTGTCTGCACTTCTCAATGCTTCACACTAAAAAGTAATCCATTAAGAAAATCCAAGTTTTGTTATTAATGAAATTCTTTACTTATACAAATAAAATTTTAATAAACGCATACATTCTGAAAACCATATTTTCTCAAGAATCAGTTCTGTGATCTTCTTAGGTAAGAAGTCTTTGATCTCCATGGTCAAAATACAACTTCCCTTAGAAGCTGTGGCTGTGTTTTTTCTCTAAGCAAGAACATTGCTTCAGCTGCATCAGCTGAGGCTGTGTTCTGTGTAATTTTGACATGAAGTAGCATAAAAACTAAAAAGTCATTCAGAACAAGTTTCAAAACTGTTTCTCTCCTGCAGAACACAAAACCCTTCTGGGCAAAACTTACTTTAGAATGTTAAGCAACATGAGAATGTTTGTTTTCACATGCTCCATTTAGAGGAATGATAGGATGGAATCCGTGAACAGGAGTCAAGATTTTAAAAAGGCAAATGTGAATGCCTATACTGGAAAAAGCTGAGCTGACTCTTTAGTCTGGCCCCTCACATTTTTCATCTTTACAGGAACCAGTTGTACAGAAACACAGAGCTATGCAGGCTGATATCCAGCCTGCAGCACAGAGAACTGTAAAAGGTCAAGTATGTAATACCAGTGCCTGCAAAATACTTGGATTTTTTTCCCCAAAACAAGGTATGTTACTTGCAGGTTTTAGAAATCTTTTAAAAAAAGTCCATATACAAATTACCAAAGCCAGAGAAAATACACCCCATTATATCTTTCTGATTTTAACAATGGCTCACAGAGCTTGAGATAGATTGTCTTGTGAAGGAAATACCCCTGCTGAATAAATGTAGATTGACTCTTGATTTGGGGCCAAATGAGGGTCCCTGCACTAAGAATGCTCAGCTGTGTGTAAACTCATACTTCTACAAGACCGCAGATTTGTTGTGATCATGGAGTTTCACTAAGCAATCCACTTGTTTTGGAAGGTGTGTTTCCTTCCAAACCATGGAACAGTTAACTCCAGACTGTTGTGGCTTTTTAATCTCCAATTCTGAAGCAGAGAGCTCCATGTAGAGGCAGCATGTAACAGGGTTTTTTTGTCTGGTCTCATATATGTGGGCAGATTTAGGACACTAGGCATTGCCAGGAGGGAGATTTGATTTCCAAGCCCTGCTTTGAAGCTGAACTTCAATCCCCTGTGAATGTGGGGCATTGTTGTACTGAAGAGACAGAAGGCATCTGCATTATTAGTACCTCAAGCTCTGCTGCCATGAGGAAGCACATCTCCAGGGGCTTATCTAGATCTCTTTTTCAAAGTGGACAAGAACCACTGAAGCAGCACAGTGTGTGCAGAGTTTCAGCATCAGGGCTTTGCAGAGGACAAGTCAGAGTACCAGAGTTTAAAGTTTAACATTGCTTTAAACTTCAGGTCTGGTCAGAGTGGGCAATGGACGTGAACAGTCACGGCCAGTGTTGGGTGATGACATTGATGAAAATAAGGGGGAAAATGGGAGAAAGAGGATGATGATCTCTCATCCTCACTTACTTTTTGAGGGCACAGAATCTGCACAGGTCTTACCAAAAGTCCATGCACACTGAATAGGAGCCATTGTACAGTATGTCCCACATAGTACATCACTTCAAAATGATCATGGATTTTGACACCTGGCTGAGAGAAAACCTGTAAAGCCTGACAGCAGCTTGTGCCAGGCTGCTGGTGCACAGCATGTCAGAGTAGAGAGCCAAATGCATTTCTTTGTCAAAGAAGATGGCATTTCCCCATGTCACTGCAAAGAACAAAAACATCAATATGAAGCATTTATGGATGTTTCATCTCAATTTATTGTAGTCAACAAATGCAGTAATGGCAGAAATGTGACACTCTGTCTCATTATGCATCTTGTAAGCTAAATTAGGACAATTAGGAGGTTAGAAGGCAGCTACTGAAGTGCTCGCTTTTATGAGATTTTCTCATGTCATCGTGCTTCTCTGTGATGGCAAAGCATCTGTAGGAAGGAGAGGAATTCCACTATGCAGAGAGGTTTGGAGCAGGTGTTAGCCCACACGAGAATAGACAAAACACTCCTTTGAGGGGTCGTCCTTCTGTACCACATCATAGTCACAGCGCTTCTTGTTGAAAACAACTTTACATTTCTTTTTGTTGTAAGAAACAGGAGTGTGAAAGCTGTCAGGGGCAAAGAGAAAGCAAATGTTAGCTTGAGAGCAATAAAAGTTTCAATACTTCAGTGATTATAGCTTGAACTACTGCTGAGAGAGAGAGGTCAAACTATGGCTAAGGGCAGCTGAGCTAGCTTGAGTACCACAGAGCTGCAGCTTCCAGAGCCTCAATTGATGCCCTGTGCACTGCACCGTGAAGATGTGCCAGGATGCTCAGCACTAGCAAAGGCACTTCTAGCACAGCACTCTGCAGTGACATAAGCATGGCCTTGGCATCTTTTCTCTTTTTCTGCCTTTAATTTTTCATTATTTCCAGTTTGCACAGGATGTGGTGGCTGCTCCCTGATAGACTGTGCCACCTAAATAAAGACAAAGATCATCATCGAGGTATTTTGGGCCATTGAGAAAGCAGCAGGAGGAAAGGAGAATGCTGCAGAAATACTTCAGAGCAGAGCCTTGTCATTCTACATTTACCATATTCACCTAGAAAAGCACTTCAGGAAAGGGGTTCAGATCACCATAAGCTCTTTAGGGAAACTTCACTTAAATCACCTACCCCCACTTTCTCAGCTAACGAAAGACAACTGCAGTGAAAGAGGGGTTCACAAGTTCCTTAAAAATGAAAGGCAAGCACCAACTGGATGTGCCTGGAAAGGCTTGTGTCCACTCCCAGTCAGCAGAAAATGAGCAAAGGCAAACACAGCTAAGGATCCAAACAATCGAGAGCTGCATGTGGCTTTCACTCGCTCTGTGACATGGGTGAGAAAAGGCTCTCTTGTGTCCTCACAAAGCCATCTATCCCCAGCAATGGAAAGCTGTGGTCATCCTACAGGCAATGATGGTACCAAGAAGTTCAAACTTACAGGGAGCAGCATCTAGTTCCACTTTCGCTGCAGTCACATTGGTAGCAATCTTCTGTCCTCTCAATGTGTCCAAAGGGATACAGTTTTTCATTGATCATACAGCCTGCAAAACACAGCAAGAAAACAGAACAGGTTCTTTAAACCTCCACCTAAAGGAGGTGCCAACTCCTGAAGGAGCTCCATGTGCTGGAATAGCAGTAGCAACCTACCACCAATTTCAATAATGTTGCTTCAGCCATACCCAGCCCAAGGGAAGGCTTTGTTTTTCCCCTACTTTTAGCACCTTGCTGCTGGAGTCCCCTGTTTGTGTTTTTCCAGTGTCTTCCCCTCCCTTGTATTTTGAGCTCTTCCTGGCAGCTCCACAGAGAGCCAATTTACCACAGAGCAATCAGGTCAGAGGATGCTCCTTGCTCTTACCATCTTTGGCCTCCCCTGGCTTGTGAATTGTACTCCAGCAGGATGCATCCCCCAGGGTCACCATGCTGCCCACTGCAACCAGGAAAGCCAGAAAGCTTTTCTGTAAAAGAAATACAGAGCTCATGCCATGCATTTTAACCACACTAATTAGCTCTGTTTTCAAAAGCTGTCACTGAACCTGAATCAAAATTAGAAATAAAGTTATGTGCACTTGAAAAACAGTGGAAAAATTATATTGAGATATTTCCTTGCATTTTTCATTTAGGTGGGAAGATACAAAATGGAATGATATTACTGTGTCAGCAGCATCAATTCTGCCAAAATACAGTCTCTAGAAATCACACAAAACTTCTATACTATTACAAAATTGAAAGCCCTGCCAAGATCTTGTCAGTGCTTTATTTATTGCCTTTGAGTCAGCTTTAGCTATTTGTCTAGCAAATCTTTGTTGAGCATCCCATTGCTTCACTTCTGGGTACAGCAATTGCTTCACATTTTGCAATGGAGAGGAGATCTGAGCTCTAAATCTATTCCAGTAGGGTTTTGGACACAGGTGGCTGGTCAGGGAAGAGATAGATAATTGTGTGTCTTTGAGCAAAATTCGAGTGCTGTACATTGTACTTAGCATCACCTGAGCCATCTTGTCAAACCATGCAGACACAGGCTGGGACTTGACACAGGACTCATCTCCTTCTGTCTTGAGGGGCAACAGCTAGGCATCTGTAAGAGGCTTTAGATACATCCCCTAGGACCTGCTGAACACCCAGAACTTTTTCTGAAAAAGCCTGCATGACTTTTTTACTGGAGTAGAGAACTAGAGAAGCGGGTGAGAGCACAGGTTTATTTGGATGGGTTGCTCCAGCTGAATAACTTAAAGGAAAAGTTTAGGAATAGCCAGAGACTGAGAAGCAATGGAGGAAGTTATTTAATTTTTCTTGATAACACTTGCAGACTAATGGGAAAGAACTTGAAATGAGTAGATCTTTCCATGTTACTGTGCTGAACTTTGGAAGATATTGCTGACAGTGTTGCTGCTTGAAACTGGGTTTAAAGTAGCAGTGAGAGGCTTGGCTTACTTGAACCACAATGCCATAAGACACTGAAAGGTTCTGAGCCTCAGGCAGGGGGTGAGCCCATGAGAAACTCCTCTGTCTGCTGTGGAAAAAACTTGGTATTTTAATCCTTGATTTCTTGCTTTGTTATGGGACTGAGTGACATTTGAGGTATAGTGAAAGCAAGGAAGAGGAGGGTTTATGGAGTGGTCTGGGAAGGGGGTAATGCTTCCGTTTCATTGTGGTTCTGTGACGTGGAGTTCCTGAGGTTTTAGGCTAGAACAGAGACAGTTGTCATGCTGAGCACCATAGCCAGAATGAAAGATAAAGGGAAAGACTGAAACTCTTAAAGTGTGCTATTCCATGGTGCCTGGGTTAGGTGCTTGCAACAACACAGATACTCCATGCCATGTAATTCATCTCTTTATAGAAAATATAAAAATCCTTCATGAGTTGTGCTGTCTTGTGTTAATATTTTATCATTTTTTTCCCTCCAGTATTTTCCTTATCATGCTATTCCTGGAAATGCCAGTCACATGAGCTTGGGAATGCTCTTCTCTCTAAAGATCAAAGTATAAGACCTTCTACTGAAACTAAAAACAAACAAAAGGGGAAGTCTCTAATGTTCAGTCAGGTGTCTGAATGTGCTTTATGCTGCAACAAGCAAATGATTTGTCAGCTAAATAACACAAACTGGGCAATAAAGTTTAAACATAGAGATAGAAGCAAATGGTAATTTCTCCCCTGTTTATGAATCAACATATTATAGACATACAATACTGCCTCCTCTGTAGAACCTATGCCATTCCTGAGATGCTCATCTAAGGCACTTCTTGATGTCTGTGCCTTTGCAACTACGTGAGCACAAATCACAGGAGAAGCAGGCCATAGGACATTGTTGCTCTATTTATCATTACCTAACTGTTGATTTAGATTCTGCCTTTGGAGGCTTGAAGAGCTGGAACAGGACACAATTTGGGGGATCAAAATGAAGAACAGAAAAAATACACGGACAAAATATACACACTTTTTCTTAGTAAAATGACAATACTTTAAACTGTACTTCCCATTTTTAAGTGTCAAAAGCATGGTCCTGTATGTTTGCAAAACTCTGAATGTTTTCACAAACATTTCTGAGGAAAGAATAACAGCAAGTGAAAGACTGAGAGGTATCTTTTAATTACATTAAAATATATTATATTTTCTATATATTTATATTTATTATATAATTAATATAATAATGTTATAATATATTTCTATTTTATAATATATTATAAAATTATATTAAAATTATATTAAGATATAAAAATTATATTGTCATTCTTGCAAAGAATTCCAATGCCAAGAACAAAATTCACAGAAATCTTCAAAGAGGTGTATTCCTCTTTTGTATTTTACAGGTTTGAAATAAAATATAGCCACATTTACACATAGCTAAAATGTGTAACTAAATGATTCTCTTAAATGCTCCCCTTTTGCAGTTTTAAAGCAAATGCCTATCTCTATCCCTATTACAAAAAAACCCAAACCAATCTAAACCTTTAACTTACCATTGTGGAATGCTTGGCTTCCAAAGAGCTCTAAGTTTCCTGAGAAAGCTGAAGTTCTTTATGTGGAATCAGAGAGCAAATATTTTATGCTGCCTTTATGTTGTGCAATTCAAGTTTAGGTGGAGGGAAAAAAGCCTGCTCAATGCAAATGCAATTATTTTGCAATATTCAAAGAATTCCCGGCCTTTTTCCAGCTGGCAATTAGAAAATGTTTGGCTTTGCAGAGCACTGACCTGGGTAAATTACTGAGTCCAAAACTTTGTATTCCTCAGAAGAATTATGATTAGAAAAAATGCCTTTCTGATGGAAAACAAATATTGATAGCTGAGCTGTAGACAGTATTATCCAGCTAGGTGCTTTTGAGGTGGGGCAGAAATGCATGCAAAATCCTGTCTGCTATCAGAGGGCTGGAACATGCTGAGTAGTGCATTAGGTGTTAATAGCAAATGGAGTTTTTGCCAGATCTTTGCATCCTCACTGTTAGTGCTGTGGTGAGCACTGAAAGATAACCAAAGGTGCTTGGCCACTACCAGGATCAAAATCTCCTAACACTGAGACCTTAGCTGAAGCTGGATTCCATTGCAAGAACTCTCTTTCTCCTCCACCATAATAAAAAATTCCTCTCAATTCAAAACCCTGCTTTTACTCCTGTGGAACTGTTCTTGCTTTGACCTGAATAGTTATAGTAGATCATATGATCAGTTTTAAATGTGCACTTTCCCAAAAAGTGATAAACTTCAGAGTGCTAATCAAGTACTCTGCGTTCTCTTGCTCCTACAACCTCTTTTCAGAAAGCACTATCCACCTGTGGCCCTACCTACATTTAAAATACTTCACTGTAGATGCTGCCAAGAAATTTGAAACTTATTCCTGTGGGAGACTTACCATCTTCAGGAAATTTAGCCTATGATTGTAAGATTTAGAGACTGAAAAAATAAGCTGAATCATTTGGGACTTTTTTTTTTTTTAGAGTAAATGAAATACAGAGTTATATGCTTTTCAATGACAGCAAGAAAAGTTGTCATTTTTGACTCAAACTAATTTGACCCAAATAATTCAGAGCAGAAGAAATTAAAGTACAACACAACAGAATTCCACGACCTCCCTGGAGGAAATGCTAAAGCTGAAGTCTGTGCAGGTTTGATAATTTTTTAGTAGGACATAATTAATGAAAAGTTCCTAAGCATTCAATTGTCCAACTAAACACCTGACTTTTGGGTTTTTTCTGATATAATCAGTACATTTTAAAACTTCAATTTGATGATAGTCATGTTTTCATTGAAAAAAATCAATATATATCCTTTCTCATCCTTTGCTTCTGGCATGGTAGATAACAGTACTTTATCATCCAGCTCTTCCTCTTGTCCCTGTTTACAGTGTGTTGAGTCAGCTTACAGCTTTTCTCAGCTGAGTGCAGCAGTTTTCATCTTCAGTTCTGTAGCACAAATTTATTTTCATTCATGCCACCCATTTCTGCATAGTTTCCAACCTGACAGTATCTTATTTCAAATCTGAATATAAAACAAGGTATGAAAGCATGTAAGTGTTGTGGGAACAACCTCAGATAGTATGAAGGACATAATGCCTTTCCTGTATATGTATCCAGGCTCCTCATCAGCTGTCTTAAGTACCATATTGCTCTAGATGGAAGACACTTGCTTTCCATCCCTAAATTCTTCTCAGGGGCACTGTTGTTAATACAAATTCTATGCTTTACAGAGTTGTTAAAAAGTCTTATTCCTCCAAAATGAAAAACAAAACCCAAAAAACTATCTAAAGCATGAACCAAGTGAGCACAGTTTATTCCACCATTAAGATGACCAGACTTATTTATTACTGACCAGACTTATTTATTACTGACCAGACTTATTTATTACTGACCAGACTTATTTATTATTTGGCACATTAAGTATTGTTTGCAAACACTACCAGTGATGATTGTGTACCTTTCCCCAGATGTCTTTCATACAAGTGTAGAGAAACTGTGGGTGATGTGCAGCATCCTGTGTCTTGTACCACTGTGAAATCATTCCCATCCTTTCACCTGCCATGTGCAGGCTTTGCTACCACCAGGTCACCCTGGGCTGAACAGGAAATTTGGTGCCAGTTCTTTTGTGGCTTTTTGATAGAGACCTCAAAGTAAGACTGGTTTTCTTTCAAGGTGCTTGTTAGGCACAACACCTTATTCTTCTGCCATGATTTCTTGCCAAAGATGCTGGGGCCCTGCCAGCTGTGCTGCAGGCTGTCTGCTGCAGGCTGACACTTCTGGGTGCCTTTCTACATTCTGCCTGAGGATACATAGATCTTGCTTTAAAAGAATTTAGTCCCTTCCTAAAGTCTTAGATCTGGCTATATCTCCAGTGAATTGCTCTTTTCAGTACACTTTTTTTTAAGGATAATTGCTTCCATAGCACTGCACTATTTTCACCAGGGCATGCAGAGTTCTTAACAGGGAATTATAGGAAAGATGAGGAGGGCAGTGACAGGACAAGGGGTTATGATTCTAAAGTGAAAGAGGTCATGTTTAGAACTGTTATTATGAAAAAATTCTTTACTGTGAGGGTGGTCAGACAGTGGCACATGTTGCCTAGAAAACTTGTGGATGCCCCATCCCTGGAAGTGTTTAAGGGCTGGCTGGATGGAGCTTTGAACAACCTGGCCTAGTGGAAGGTGTCCCTGACAAAGGCCAGAAGTTGAAACTAGATCATCTTTAAGGTCCTTTTCAACCCAAATCACTCTATGATTTGATGTTCTTACCTTCCATCAAAAAAAGCTGGTGTCCTCGTGGTGGATTAATACTCAGTGAGAGAATAAGTTTTTTGCAAAGTTCACTCCTGATTCTATAGAACTTACATACATCATGCAGATACATATTTGCACATTAAGTCATGCAGATAACTAAACCTTCAATATGTTGGAAACACAATCTTTAGCTTAAATAGGTTTGCACATACTTGAAGAAAGCTGGAAAACTCCCATTAACTTCTGCAGCATTCAAACTAGCTCTTAGGGCTTGGGTCAAGCAAAGCACTAATGTATACCCTAGTCTGAGCCCTGTGGACAGTTCCATTGTCTGCAGTGGAGCCACTCTTTGTTCTCAAGCACATGCTTCATGAAAGGCTTTCCTTTCCTAACCTGGAGCACAAGTTCACAGCCATCCTGGCTCTATGTTGCTTTATCAACTATGATACCTCAATTAATATGAGAACTTTAATTTCTTGGTCTGTTTACAAAAGTGGGAGGGTAGCACTGCTACATCAGTCCTATGAGTTTCAAAGTTTTACAAAAAACTAAAGTAGAAAACCATGGGACTGTGATTCAGGACTTTTTTTTATTATTATTTCTTCATTCTGATGCTGACTTGATGCATGATTTTGGGTGACTCCCTTAAGTGTGTCAGAGATTTCAAGTTTCAGAGCTTATGACCTAGAAGAATTCAGAAACCAGAGACAGCACAGAAGTCAAGTTTCCCTATTCCTGTAATAATGCCTATTCTCCAAGCCCATGATTTTACCACCAGACATGAACTTTCCAGATCAAAGAAGGATCAAACCACAAACCAATGAAGTCATGTGTCCAAGTCCACATTCATTTATAGGGTTAGCTGTTGTGCTGTGGGTTTAGCTTTTCTCCCTTAATTTCCAGTTACCTGTCCTGAATTTATCAGACTGGCTATTTTTTTTACTGCTTGCACAGCTTATTGCAGTGAACTTATTCAAGTTCAAATAACTTGAATCAATATAGCATGGTCTTTTTAGGTGACAAGAGTAATCATAGTTGCTTATTTCTTAGGAGTTATAATTAATTATTTATAGGAAACCTGATTTTGAATTCCCTGAAATGAATAAATACACTAATAGGAAAGCAGTGTGTTCTGTCATTGCATTAACCAGCAATGAACAACAAGCAGAGGGGGAAGTTCCTCTGGAGATTTCAGACTCCTGTGCTGGTCCAGTGACAGCACATGCACTTAGTTCTAGCTGTTGATACTCCTTTCTACACTGTGCACCAGAGTCTGAGGCATCTTCAAGCCCTGACATCGCTTGTCACCTCCAAGACTTTTTGCAGCCTGCAGATAATGCAGGTGCTGGGACTATCTCTTGGAGAATGAGGAATTCTGGAAATTGCAGGGCTGAACAACCACATCTCTCTGCCTCTATACCAAGATACACAGCACTACTGAGAAGGAGAGCAAGGATTGGCCAGGGAAATGAAGAACAATGCACAAATTGTATTGGGGTTCTTTCCCATGGAATGCAGAAGCTTAACTTTTAATTGTAATTTGACTTTTTTAATGTTTGCATCCTGTTCTAAGGTTATAAAGACATGTTTACTTTCTGTTAGCTATTGAGAAAGCTCGCTGTGGTATTCTCTTTACCTGGTAAATATTTGTGAGTTTAACCAAGTGCTAAGGCATGGCTTCGTGGGTGTCAGAGACTTCAGCCCTGTACATTCTTATATGTTCTGGTTCTTAATCTGCAGATTAGTCCCTGATGACATATGTGATTTTTGATACATAATTTATGTCACATAATCATTTAGAGAGTTCTGAGGGGAACAGCAAGATCCCCTCAGTGATTTTTCTTGCTGCTTTTCTCCAAACTTTAAATGAAACCTGTCCAAATTTCTCTCTAAAAGGAATTTTAGGATTAAATGCTTTTTGTAACCCTGTCTGTAATGTTTAGGACAGGACTCCTAGAAAGCAGATTTTCGTTGTGCCATTCATAGTCCTCTTGGCTCAGGGACTGGTGTATCACAAATAAACACCTTCCTCTAGGAACCATTCAGGTTCTAGGTAGCTGTCATGCTGAGTTTTTCATGGAAACTCATCTGCAAGACCCCCAGACCTGAAGCTGCCTAGTGCTAAGACCCAACATTTTGCAGCATCAGTGCACAAAGAGCACACAGATCTCATGTTTTATAATGCACGAATTTCTGTGAAAGTAGAGCTTTGCGTTATCAACAAAGGGGATTCACATGTCAGTGAATATGGAAAGTAACAGAAGGCAAGCTTTTCAGGTTGATGGAATGTTGCGGAGGAAGAAACTGCAACAAAATGCTAAAAGGCATTGAGAATAATTTTATATTTATGTTTATATTTATGT